TCAGCACCACAAGCACTTCACCCACGAACCCCACAGCTCCCAGCACCACCACTCCTACCCCAGCCAGTCCCACTATCACACCCACCCCGGCCCCCAGCACTGCCACCGGTGTCACTGGTGCTCCTGCCAGCACCCCAGCCAGAGCCACCACCTCACTGCCAATTCCCGTGGTGTCCACTGGTGCATTTCCCACCACCCCTGGGGCTCTGCCTTCTAATACCACGCTGGAGTCCTCTTCTGTTGTCACACCTTCGTCTCCTCCTCTGATGTCAACCACACTGGTGGTCCCCACCACTCATGCCCCAACACGGGACACTACATGCTTCACGCAGCCTGCACCTTCCCCTCCTCCTGCCCCCCTGCCCCTGTGTCCCTGCCCCACACCAGGGCTGGCTGTACCAGTGCTGCGCTCACGGGCAGGTGAGGATGGTCTGCAGGGTGGGCACTGGGTGCTGAGTCACTGCTGCCTCTTGCACTGGGTGCTCTACCTGGCCTCCTTGGCTCTGCTGGTCCTGACCGTGCTGGCCCTGGCAGGCTGGCTGGCGTGGATGTGTCTGGTGGGACGGCCCTTCTGGCACAGGTCCCTGCAGACCCGAGAGGTTCAGTATCTGCTGCTGAGGGAGTCAACAGGAAGCCCTCTGATGCATCTCGGCAGCTCCAAAAGCCACCTCCAGCGCACCACGTTCTGTACCATCAAAGAAGTAGAGTTGTACCCTCAGGTCACTTACTGCACAATTAAAGACCTGGGGATACAGTGCAGTCCTCCTGCAAGTTCTAATTTCTGCACCACGAAGGAGCTCTGGATCCACCATAGTCCTCTGAACGCTTCATTCAAGTCTTTCTCCACAAAGCCGATGGCCACAAACCTTGGCTCCCTGAGGACCCCTTCTGCTTACAGCCTGGACAGGGGTATCAAGGCCATCGGGGATGTGAGAGTAAAATACGCTGGTAACACCTTGTAAATGCTTCTGTACGTTCAGCAGAAGAGATGGAGGGTCATGACTCCGCTTCATGTACCCCTTTTTACGAGGGCAAGATCTGCTTGCCCAGGGGGAAGCCATCCAGCTCTTTCCTCTAGTGTTGCTCTCACACCCCCTGAGGTTTCTGGATCTGAAATAATTACTCAGGTGCTTGCCATGGGGAGAAGATGCCCTAAAGTGGTCGGTGAATGTCTGGGGCTGCCACTGCCTGGTTTCGGGGTGAGTGTGGGAAAGCAGAGCTTGCTTTGTCCTCTACGTCCCAACTGCTTCTGCCCAAATGATGCACATTAAGCTGCGTGATGCTTCCAACTTGGTGCCAGGCTCTTAATCACAGAATAAATATTCCCCTTGCCTGAGTTTCAAGTGAATGCTGGTTTCACCTCATTAGACATCTCAGAGTCCTGGCAGGGTCCAGTGAACAACAACATTGTCTTCAGTACTTGGAGTAGTGAAGATGATAGAGAGGAAAAGTCCACTTACACCCAGCTTCCTGCAAGGGCTGACAAGAAAACCAGAGAGGGGCTTTGAACCAGGGCCTGTAGGGACAGGACAAGGGGAATGGCTTGAACCTGCCAGAGGGGAGACTGAGCTGAGCTCTCCAGCTCTGAAGGGCTGGAGAATTGGGCAGGTACAAAGTGGTGTGAAGGTCAGGACCAGCGCCTGGCTGTTACTGGAGCATAACTCCTCTTGGATGGTGTTTGCATGGAATAGCACGTGGGGCTGTGCTGGAAACTCTTCTATTTAAAGTCTTTACCAGTGACATGGAGGAGGCGACTGAGCGTGTTTTTATCACACTGGCAGGTGACAGCAGGTTGGGAGGGCTCTGTTAGGGTGCTTCCAACGGGAATACCCTTCAAGGGAGCACCATTCACCCTGGAGAAATGGCTTGACAGAAACCCGATGAAAGTCAACAAAGGACAAAGTCCTGTACCCAGGAGAACCTGAAACCCTCCCTACACATCCCAGGACCCCCAGTTCCCTCCCCCACGGTGCCACTGGTACCCCAGTATCTCCCAGAACCCCATTACCGCTACTTCTGCTTGCAGCTCCTCCCCAGCATTCTCCCACCTCTCCACACAACAAGCACTCCCCTCCAGGAAGCCAAGACCTCCCAGAACCACACAGGAACCCCAAAGCCCCCAGGAGCCTCCAACACCACTGTCACCCTGTCATCTACCTCCCCAAACCCTGGCAGCCACAGGACTCACCTTCTCCCTCAGGATCCAAGATGCCTCTCAATCCCAAGACACATGCATGGAACAATGAACAGCCCCAGTGCCCTCATCCCACCTCCTGGTCCCCACCACCACCCATCCAGAACACGCAGGTCTCCTGCTCTCCTCCTGTTCCTCGTGAGAAGCACCCGGATGTCCGGGGTCCCCAGCAGAAACAAGATCCACATGGGCAGTTCCAGAGCCACTTTTATTCCACCCAAGTGTGTGTGTTGGGAACTGGGGGATCCCCATCTCCCAGTGAAGGGCTCAGGGCAGAGAGTGAGTATTCCTCCAGGCACAGGGCCACAGTGTGGGGAGTCTTTCTGCCCCATGGGGTCCCCACAGTCTAGGGCACCTACCCTGGGGTGCAGCATTGCTGGAAACCACAGGAGGAACCCATTCTGAAGGAGGGATCTGGGGGTGATTTTGTCCCATAGAGGTGCCCACGGATGCTGGCTGGAGATGCCAGTATACCTGGGCTGCAGAGCTTTTAAGCCCCCCTAAGTACTATTGGGGGTTTCAGGTGATCTCGAGGGGTCCTCGAGGCAGCTGGGGCCACGCAAGGCAGGGGGGACAGTGAGGACACAGGCTTGGAGGTCGGTATAGGCATGGGGCAAGGTGCCGCGGGTGATCCAGCGCCGGGCAGCCGGCTGGTAGGCATGGATCAAGTGGGTGTCCTGGTAGGTCTCATGGCTGTACCCTCCCAGCACGAGCAGTTCCC